GCAGCAGCAGCACTACGCGGCCTCTGCCCTGCACCAGGCCCTGCTCTCCCCGACCCCCCCAGACTACAGCCGGCGGCAGCAAGTGGCCCCCATCCTGCAGGGGCTGCTTTCCCCCCGCCACTCGCTGGCCGGCCACCCGGACCTGCGGCTGCCCCAGGTGGAGGTGGCCCAGCTGATCAAGCGGCGGCAGCAGCAGCAGCAGCAGCAGCAGCAGCAGCAGCAGCAAGAGTTCCAGCAGGAGCTGCTGTTCCGGCAGATGAGCCAGGGGGAGGCGGGACAGGGGCTGCCCTGCCTGGCCCAGAAACTCTCCGACCGGCCCCCCCTGGCTTTGCCTTACCAGAACGCTGACCCTTACCAGCCCCACGCCGGCCCCCAGCCCCTCCTGAAAGTCAGGGGGCCGGACGGCGTCTCGCACGTCTCGGGGCCGGCTCGCGGATACGCCCCCCTGCCTTCGGCCCTGCTGCACTCGGAGAGCATGGAGGAGGAGGCGGACTGCTTGTGCCAGGGGCCCCGGGACCCTTTCCCAGGCCACAAGACCAAAGGCTGCCCCGAGGCGCGGCTCCTCGTGAGCGTGGGGGGCCCTGGGGACTCGGACTCTTTGTTTGGGCCGGCCAAGGGCGAGCCAGAGCTCGGAGCCCACCTGTACCGGCCCCAGGCCGTTTCCCCCTTCTGTCGGAGCGAAGGGCCCTGCTCAGGTAAGGCCGGCCCGAGCCCCCCTCCAGGGTGGCTGGTGGGCAGGAAAGCCCCCTCCTGTCTCAGCTTCCTCTCCAGGAGGAGGGCAGGGCCTCTCAGGGCCTGGCAGCCCCAGCACTGCCCAGCAGGGGGTGGGGGGTGAGCTGGATTCGGAGCAGCAGCGGGTGGGGGGGGGGGGCGTTCTAGGAGCTGCTGCAGTTCTGTGGGGTTCTGTCAGGCCAAGCGAGGGCCAGCCTGGAGGGGGGGGGGGCAGACTGAGGCTGCCTGACTGATCATCGTGGGGGGAGGGGGCTGCTTTGGGATGGAGGGAAGATGCCCTGACAGCGGCCAGGCGTGGAAGGAGCGCTGGCCCAGGAGGCGGCCTTTCCCGTGCCGCAGCTGAGCAGGGCTCGAGGGGCCGAACCTCAGGCCAGCTGGGAGGCCCTCCTGGGCTCCTGACCTCTGTGGCCCTCCTGCCTGTCCCTGCAGATCCCATGGTCACCGGGGGCCAGGAGAGGGCCTCGCCCGGGCAGGTGGAGATGGCCGAGGTGGAGGGGCTCACGGCGTACCCAGCGAGAAGGATCCCTGGGGTGCACCCCCGGCCCCGGCCCCTGCAGAGGCACCACACCATCCAGAACAGCGACGATGCCTACGTGCGTTGGGGGGGCCCCTTGCCTGGGCCCTGAGTGGGGGGTGGTGGCTGGAGGGCTTCCCCTCTCTTGCCCGCCTCCCCCCCCCCAGCCTCTCAGTGCCCCCTTTGCTGGCTGCTGCAGGTGCAACTGGACCCTCTGCTGGGCATGAGCCTGATGGCCGGGAAAGCACTTAGTTCCGCCCGGATGGCCGATGCGGTTCTCAGCCAGACCCTCCCTGAGGGAGAGCGGAGGGGTGAGTGCCAGGCACACCACGCAGGGGGACATGGGGGGGGGGGCCTCGGAGGTGCTGGGGGGCAGCTGAGCCATCCCTGGGCTTCCCTTTCCTCTCCCCCCCACAGACGGTGGGGAGCAGCTGGAAGGCCAGGAGCAGCCAAGCGGCTTGGGTGAGGGCAGCCAGCATCTCAACGCCTCTTGCTACCCCTCCACCTGTGTCACCGACGTCCTGCTGAGCTACCGGCACCCGGAGCTTCCCTTCGGGGTGGAGCAAGCCGGGGTGTAGCAAGGCCACGGCAGCCGTGAGTGCGCGTCCTATGCAGCAGCAGCAGCAGGAGGGGGAGGGAGGGAGGGGGGCCAGGGGGAGCCCAAGGGGAGGCTGCAGGGCCCGGCCTCCGCTGCCCGCAGGGGTTGTGCCTTTAAGGGCCGTCGGGTTGCAGCGCCAGCCCCGCTGCTCACACTGCCCTTCCAGGCCTTGTTGCCTTGGCAGGCTGGGCACCGCTCCGTAGTGAGAAAGTCCATTCCACACCGACAGTATCTTGCAGCCTTGCACCAAACAGCCATCTTCGCGTTTCTCTGGGAAGGAAGGAAACCTCATGGTGGTGGTGGCGGCTCTTCCTCCTCCTCCTCCTCCTCCTCCTCCTCCTCGTTGGTCCAAAAGTGCGCTTGTCCCTTTCGGATGTTCTTCGTCATTGCCATATCTGCCTGTGGTGCCAGCTGTTCCGGACGCGCCAACCGCCCCTCCGGGGGCTGCCGAGATGGACTGAGCACACCCACGAGGGCAGCAGGCGCCTCCCTGGCCTCTCGCTGGAGCCAGCAATAAGCCGACTGTGGGACGGAGCCTTTCCGGGGACTGAGGAGGGGCTGGGCTGGGCTGGGGCCGTCTCCATGCCTGCCTGCCTGCCTTCTGTTGCTCGACCCCCCCCCCACCCCCCCCCCCCCGATTTCCGCTCCCCCCCCCCCCCCCCCGTCCCCTCCCGGCCGCGGTGCAATATTGCTTTTGTGTCTCATTTATTGACTTTCCTGTGTTTGGATTTTGTCATTGTGCTTAAACATCCTTTTTTTCTCTTTTTGTACCTCTTTTCCATTCATATCATGTGCTCTCTTTCCTCCTTTACTTTAATTCTAAGAAAGTTTGGTTCTTGTTTTTTAACTTGTTTCCCTCCAGATCATGTAGGAATTCGTTTCAGTAAATTTTTTGGTATTATTATTATTATTATTATTATTAATATTAATAAATTAATTCAGAATGCCTTCCTGCCCCTGGCCGTGCTGCTTGACCCCTGCTCCCTCCCCCTCTCTCGACTCTTCCCCAGGCCTGGCCTCTGGGGGCGCCCCCCCTTTGGGGGCGGGCTGGGCGGAGGCCCCCCCCCCCCCCCCCCAGCCCTATTCCAACAGGCCGGGCGGGGCTGTTTTGCAGTATCCCATTTTTTTTTTTTTGTTTTCAGTTTTGGTTTTTTTTTAATTGTTGCTTTGTATTGTATAATCAGTACTTACAGTATATGTTGAATGTATAACATTGCTATTATTTCTGTTTTGGGGAAATGTCCAGAGTATTTCTCTCATTTATGTTGGACTAAAACAAGAGCCCCTACACACACACACACACACACACACACACACACACACAGAGGCTCCCCAGGTTTTTCAGCCAATTCTTAGTTCCGTTTTGGGTGGGTGGGCGTTTGCAACTGATTGTTCAAATAAACCCTCGATTCTGATTGGCTCTCAGTTCTGGTCTGGCTCCTCTCTTGCTGCTGTTGGAGGAGCCCCCCCCCCCCCCCCCCCCCCCCCCCCCCCCGGGAGGGGGTGTTCAGGGCATCCATGGGGCTGGCGGCAATGCTGCAGGTGAAGCTCCGCCCCCTTGACTTTGGCCACGCCCTGCAGGGGCTCCTTTGCCCAAGAGCCCCACCACGAGCCTCTTGCGGGGAGAAACAGGCTATAAGGGAGGGTCTCCCCCACGGGGACGTCTGCGGCTCTTGGGGTTTGGGCCGGGGCCACGGCCCCAACCGGCCTCTGTTCGTTAGATGAAAGGCTGGCCCTCTTGGAGCCGGCAGGGTTTGGCCGCTGACCCGACAGGCCAAGCTCTTCCTTGCCAGCTCAGCGCAAGAAGCCTCCGTCCGAGCTCTGGGCAATGGCCGGCCAGGGAGCCCTCGAGCGGGGAGGAGGAGCCAGGCGTCTGCCCCTCTTTCTCCTGCCACGGAACTGGCAGCCTTTGCCAGCTCCAAAGCTTTGGCCTGAGCTGCGCCCAGGGCCTCTGGGCCCCTGCCAGGCCTGCCCGCCTCCTCGCTGGGCACCTGGGCAGCTCCTCCCCCGTAGGCCCCCCTTTCCAGGGGAGACGCTCCAAAGGGGGCCTCCGGGTGCCCAGCCTTCCGCTTGCTCGGGGCACAAAGGAGAGGCTCGGCCCCATTTCGCCCAGTGGAGCAGGCGGAGGAGTCTTGATCCAGGACCTGGAGCAGCCACTCTTCACCTCCCTCCACCTTTGCTGGTGGCAGAAGGGGCGGCATCCCTCCTCCACCCTCGCCCCCCCCCCCCACCTGCCTATGGGGTGCAGGCTGGGAGAAGCGCAGGGAGCCGGCCCTGTGTGTCCCCCGTGGCTTCTCCGGAAATCTGGCTGTGGGAGCCCTTGGGTGCAGAGCCCCCCCCCCCCCCCCCCCCCCGGGGCCTGGGCCCCCCACCGGGATTTGAGGCCGGGGCCCCCCCCCCCCCGTCCCAGGTGTGGAAGGGCAGCCGTGGTGCGGACAGCCTCCTTCAGGCTGGGCTGGGCTTGCCCAGGGTGCTTGGTTCCCTCACGCCCTTCGTGCTGAGCAGGGCTCAGGGCTGGATTTGGCACCTCCAGGAGTAGCTTCAACGGGAGACGGGAGCCAACGGGAGTGCTGGCCTTTGCTGGCTTCTCATGCAGCCCAACTGAGCTGATCCTGCACGAGTTGTTAGGCCTGGTTAGGAAGGGAAACCATCTCGTGCCCACAACAGGGTTTGCACAGGCCCCGGGTGAGTCCTTTCGGGGGGTGGGGTGTCTCTGCCAACCCCCCCCCTTCCATCCAGAACCTTTGGAGTGGGTGTTCTCTGCCGGGGGCGTGTGTGCCGATTTGCCAGTCCGCCTCTGTGACCCTCGGTGCGCCATTCCTCTCTCCTCCCTGCACTTGGGAGTCTGCCCAGGCAGGCCGCTGCTCTGCTGCATGGGGCCTGGCCTTGGTAGGGGGAGGAAGCCTGGCTTAGCCTCCTGGCCTTGCCCCAAATTTGGGGTGAACCCGGCCTCCCATCGGCTTTCCTGGAGGGTGAAAGCATCCCACGGCCGGAGGGCCCTGCCGGCCACTAAGCCTCGGCCAAGAGCCCCAGGCCCTCGGCCTGTTTCCCGCAGCTGCTCCTGGCCGACGAGGGCCCGCTAGGTGTGCAACTTGGCCCCAAGCCCAGCCCGGCTCTTGGCCTGATCCCAGCTTGATCCCTTGTCCCTGGTTCTCCTGCCTGGCGATGTGTTTGATCCTTGAACTCTTAAGCGCCACATAGTCATAGCTCAGGAGTGAATTCCCTGTTTATAGCTACTGCTTATCTCCAGCAATAAACAACCCGGCCGGTATAAAAAGCCTCCACCGACTGCATGCAGCAAAGACCACGGAAGACACCCAAGCGGCTGGTAAGATGCGGGCACCTGCCGGGCTTGGCTTTGTCCGGCTGCTTTCTCTGCTGACCCCTCTGCCCAATCCCTTGGCCGGCACGGGGCTGGCAGGGAAGAAGGGCAAGGGGGACACTTGCTCTGGGGCCACTGCTCGGGGTCTGTTGGGCTGAGACGGTGCCTGGGCATTAAAAGCCGCCCTGTGGCCCTCCAACTCAGCCCAATTTCCTTCTGGCCGCTGCCCGTGCCGGGAGATGGCCCTGGGGGTCTGGGGGCCTGGGCACAGCTGGGGGAGGGGCTTCTCTTTCCCAACGGCTTTTCTTTTCTCGCTCCCAGGGCGGAAGGTAGTTCAGAATGCAGAGCCTCAGTCTTGTCCTGGCCGTCCTGCTCCTTACAGGTGAGTCTCTGGGCAGAGGAGCCGTCGGCTGGGCTGGGCTGGGCTGGGGATGAGAGCCGTTGCTTCTGCTGGGGGCTCCAGGGCTGCCTTTGGGTAGCTAGGAAGGGAGTGTCCTCCGCCTGGGCTGAGCCTGCTCCCCCTTGCCCTGCAGGAGCCCAGGCCCGCTACTTCTGGCAGCATGACGACCCCCAGCAGACCCGCCTGGAACGCCTGCAGGAAGCGAGCCAGGTGTACCTGGAGTCGGCCAAGGAGGCAGTCCAGCAAGCCATTACCCAGTTTGACGAGTCTGCCGTGGCCCGGGAGCTGCAGTGAGTAGTGCCTTGCACATGGGGGTGGGGTGGGTGGGGGGATGGAGATGGAAGGCAGGGGAGTGGAGGGGGGGAAGAGTCCCTGGCCCATCACTATCCTCCTCCTGGGTCCCCCGCTGACAGACGAGGGCCGGGCTGGTGGGCCCCGGAGAGGGTGCCAGCAGCTTTTGTTTTGGAAGATAAAAAGAACAGGAAACTCCAAGGGAGAAGCCCCAAGTGACAAAGCCCAAAGGGTCTGAAGAGGGAAGAGAAAGCACAGCCTCCGAGGGGACACCATTTCTGAGGGAGGAGGACCAGCCTCTTTGGGCTCTGGGCTCAGGATGCCCACCCTGATCGGCAGGCAGGCAGGCAGGCAGGCAGGGCAAGGGGACAGAGTGTCCACCACTCCGTTGTTGGAGGCCCTGCCAGGGGGCCCAGGGCTGTCCATACCATAAGCACAGCCTTAAAACAGCCAGGCCAAGGTGAAGCTGGTTTCTGAGCCCCCCTCCCCCCTGTGGGAGGTGGGGGGGGGAGGCCTTTGGGGTAGTGTCACACCTCCTCCTCCCCCCAGCATCTTTGGGTGGTTAAGGCAACCCAGGAGAGGCTGGTGGCGTCTCCTGGGCTCCTCTTAAATGCGGCTTCAATGTTTGTGCTACTGCGAGAGATCACACGAGGAGCAGCGAGTTTGTTGCAATGTTTGGGCTGAGCAAGGGATCAATACTCCAAACCAGTTGATTTTCAGAGGTGGTTTGTATATGCTTTGAATTCGATTCACCTTCCAAATACAGTGTATAAACTGAAACATAGGTTAACTAAACAGGATGGCCGGCTTTCCAGATTCTTTCAGAGATGCTGTGCGTGAACAGCAGCCAACCAACAATTCATCTTTCTATGCAAAATCAGTGGCTCGCTGTATTTTTAAAAAAATATGACATGAGAAATGCACCTCTCATGATTTAAAACTGAAACTAATTCACCAGGCAATATATTTTCAGCTCTACTTCCCTCCTCTAAGAACCTTGAAAAAAGCAATGGGTGTTAATTTCCTAGCAATCACTATCACACATTGAGGGGTCTTTTCTCTTATACGCTCTATTCATTTGAGCAATTTCGCTAAAACTGTGTGTTTTTTTAAAAAAAAAACCAAATGAAAATAGATTTTTAAAAAACCTTTGATGTTCTTCTTAGGACTTGTTGGCTTTATTCTGTTGTACCCTGGGGAGAATCTAGAGAGTGGGGTGGGAAAAAAGGGTAGATAGGTGACCTCATTCGTGGACCACCACAAGCACGAGCCAGCGATGTGCTGCAGCTGCCGAAAAGGCCAATGCAGTTGTGGGCTGCTTCAACAGAGGGACAGCATCAAGATTACAAGAAGTGATTTTGTACAGCTTTGTGCCGCACCAATAAGACCATAGTAGGAACAGTGCATCCAGTTCTGGCCATCGTGACACAGAAAAGATGCAGGGGCCTTAGGGTGCGGAGAAGAGCAAGGCAGAAGATGCCATAAAAGGATCCGGAGACTAAATTGTATGAACAGTTAAGGGAGCTGCGCATGTCTAACTTATAGGACAGGAGGATTGGGGGTGGGGGGGGACATGATAACTGTCTTCCAGGACTTGAAATTGGGGTTGGACTAGAAGACCTCTAAGGCCCCTTCCGTTCGTAGGATTCTATGTTTTATTGGTTATAACGTCGTTTTCTTCAGCCAGATCAACTTCCCGCCCTGTCGTCCAACAAAATATGTATTTCGATTCCCCCGCCCCCCTTGTTTTCCCAAACGCTCTGGGCATTGTGGGGGCAGCTTCTCTGTCCTCTGCAGCCTCTGACTCGGCTGTTGCTCTCTTGCAGAGTGAACATAGGGCAGAAGCTGGAAGCCGTAGCCATTGTGCTGCAAGAGATCAAGGAGCAGGTGACCCCTGAGCTGCAAGAGCTGAGAACCGAACTGCAGACGGCCTGGCAGACGCTGAAGGAAGAACTGACCAAGGACATACAGGAGGTCGGAGCCCAGATCCAGCCCTTGGTGAGCAAGCTCCGGGAGAATGTGCACCAGGATGCGTCCGCCTACTTCCAGCAGCTGAGAACCATCTCCCAGGACATCAACCAGATGGCCCAGGAGAAGCTGAGGCCACTAGCCGAGGACTTCCGGGACAAGGTGCGAAGCCATGTGGACGAGTTCCGCAAGGACGCCGCTCCTTACGCCAAGAAGCTGGAGCAGCTGATCCAGGAGAAGGCCAAGGCGCTGGAGCAGAGCGCCGTCACCGAGCTCACCGACCTGCAGACTGAGCTGCAGCAGCAAGTGACCGAAGTGCGGGAGAAAGTAGGGCCCATCTGGGAAACGGCCCGGGAGGAGCTGCTCACCCTGCTGCAGAGCGCCAAGTCCTTGTTTGTGACCACCAGAGATGGGGAGGAGCAGCAGCAGCAGCAGCAGAGCTAGAGGCCCTGCATGGGTGCCCCCCACCAAGGGTCCCAGTGACCCATCCTAGCGGCTGAGGAGGCTGGCAGTTCCTTTCCCAGACAGCAGGAGGCCAGAACCCTCCCGCACCCCGTCTGGCTACAAGTCTTGTGTCCCCTCCCTAGACTTTTTTCTCTTCTTCTTCTTCTTCTTCTTTTGTGCCAAATAAAAAAAACAAAACAAAACGGTGATTTGCAAATGATCTCTGTGTCCACTTGCATGATGGGGGCCTGGGGCAGACCTGGGCGGCGAGAGACTCGGGGTTCAGCTCACCCAAAGCTCCTCCATGCCTCTTTGGCAGCTTCCTCCCCACATTTACTCCCAATGGAGCATGGGGGGTGGGGTGACCCTCAGGCTTGGGGCACAGGGTGGCTCCCCCCTCCCGGAAGACGGTCTTCCCCCCTAGGTCGGCCCACGTGTGGCGTTAGGGTGCCAATGTCGGGAGCAAACGGTTGCTTTGGAATGCAGCCGCTTTGGGCTTGGTAGGACCCAGGAAAGGTTTTTGGGCCAGAGCCAAAGTGCCTGAAGGCAGCCCTGCTTCTCCCTGGGCCCCACGCCAGGTTGGTGTCTTATTGGACGGGGGGGGGGGGGCTGGGCAGAGCCTTCCCTGCTTCGCCCTCCACCAGATGGGCAGCCCCACCCGGCCATGGCTCAGCAGGGGCAGGTTTTGGGACACGCCTCGGCTCTTGTGCCTATAGTCTGCAGACAAGGAGGAACCGTGGAAGCCCCGCCCCTCACGCCCCTCCGAAATCTGTGCAGGGCTCCTGCTGGTGGAGGAATCCCCGTCCATTCGGTGTGCAGAAAGAAAGAAAGCCAAGCGTGCAACGTTCCACTAGTTTTAATGAGGAAAATTCCACACGGGAGAGAGAGAGAGAGAGAGGCGAGGAGGGGGGGGGGGGGGGGGGGGGGGGGGGGGGCGGTCCCCAGAGGAGCAGGAGTAGGGAGAGCTGCCCCTGGGCTCCTGGGTGTGGAATGGGGCTCCAGGCTCATGCTGGATTTCTCTCCAGCAGGTTTGAAACGCGAGTCTTTACTTGTTCAAGAGCATCCCGGGCGCGTTCAATGCCAGCCTCTGCCAGTTCCCTGGAGAGAGTTACGGTGGGGTGAGAAGGGGAGGAAAGCGAGTTCAGGGAACAGAATCCCCCGCCCCCCGCGAGAGGCCCTGTTGGGCTGGATGCGTCTCGGCAGCTGCCAGGATTCAGGGGCCAGAAACAGAATTTACACGGTCAGCCAGCCGATTGTCCTTGCTGGCCAAAGCAAGGCTTTGTACCAAACGAGCGTCCGGTCAGTCTTGACCAATTGGGGGGCCGCCTGGAAGTGCGGGGACAGGCGCCCGGGTTCTCTGGAAGCCGCGCAGGCAACGCGATCCAGCTCTGCCCTCCGGGGAGTTCACGCCCAGCCCCTCTGGAGGAACCATCGCTCACAGGAGGAGCAGCCCCCGAGGGCCGTGCAGCGCCTGCGTTCTCCTGTTCACCCCCAAAATGCCAGAGACCCCCCCAGACCCACCTCACTTGCTGGTAAACGGGCGATGCTTGGACAGCGGCGATGCGCTCTTGCGCCTTCTGGACGAGGCCCTGGAAACGGGTCCTCAGCGTCTCCTGGCCTTCCTCCGCGCCTGGGGACCAAGGGGCGGAAGCCTGAGGATCTCTCCAGGGAGGGGCAAGGCAAGAGCCCGGCAAGAGCAAGGCGCCTCCCCCGCTCTCGGAGCACCCGGGGGCCCCACTGCCGGGGCCCCAGCTCGGCTCCCTTGCCGGGGCCCCCTCTTACGTGCATCGGTGGCCAGCAGCGCCAGCAGCGCCAGCAGCAGCAGAAGCGGGACTCTCATCTTCCTTCGGGGGTCCTGTGCCGGGAAAAGGGGCCGTCACTGGCCTGGAAGGGGCTGCTGTTACTGGGGGCGGCTCTTGGGCCCTGGGCTCCTCTAGGGCGGGGACCTTTCCAGAGAACGGGCAAGAAGGGGAAGGGAGCCAGGCGGGGCCAGGGCTGCTCAGCGAGGGGCACAGCTGGCGGGAGGGGCGCCGGGCTTGGTGGCGCCCTTCAGGGCTTAGCCAGGCGGGGGTCCCAGCGCCCTCCCGCCTCCCCTCAGTCGGAAAGCCTTATGCGGAGGCTCCTCGCCCACCTTTTCTCCAGGAGCTGAAAGCGACGCTTGTCCTTCAACCCGAAACAGCGGCCCTGCGAGGTAGGCTGAGAGCGAGAGGGAACGAGACGGGCTCAGACCCCGCGAGGGAGACGCGACTGCCGTTCTCCCGGCCCGCCGCCTGCCCGCCCGCCCCGCGGGACCCGCCCGCGAAGTGCGGAGAGCGCCCCGCCGCCTGCCCGCCCCTCCTCACCTTCTAGCTGGGCTTTCCTGAGGAGCTGTCCGGACTGGCGAAGGGGAGGCTGCGGCTCCCCTTTTATACCCCCCCCCCCCCCCCCCCCCGGCTGCCCCCCTCCCGGGGCTGCGCGGCCAAAGTTCCGCTGGGGGGGGGGGCTTTGGGAGGGGCCGGGCCAGGCCAGGGGGGCTTCCATCCCTCCGGGCCCCATTTGCTGTGTTTGCCCTGCGGTCGCCTCTGCTGGGGTTGGGAAATTCACCCGCCCGCCCCGCACCCGCCCTCGGCCCGAACCACTGGTCTGGCAGAGCCCCGGGTTGGGCATTGGGGGCTGGGAGGGGGCCTCGTCCGGTGCCACCTTTGCTGGACGGGGCATCTTGGAGCCCAACATGGTAGGCCAGCTGGCCTGGCCAGGGAAATGTGATACCAGTGATGGCCGCTGTGAAAGAAATAGGGCCCCCCTTCCCATGCCCTCCTCAGTGGGGCCGGGCCCCCGTTTCCTGTTGCTCCGAGGGCTCCTGCTGATTTTCTGGGGGTCTCCTTCCCAAGCGATGCCATGGGTGTGCCTGGGTGGGGGAGGGGAGTGGGGAGCATCTCACAACCTGGAGACCACCGTCTCTTCTGCCCTCTCCTGATTTGGGGCTTCACAGCCAGTTGCCAGTCTGTGAAGAGGGTCCCAGGGCTTGTTTGGAGTTTCTTGGGAAGCACTGTGTGTGTGTGTGGGGGGGGGGGGGGTCAATAAACCTGCCCCTCCAGTCCTTGCTGGAACCAGGCTCTTCTTTTGGGGAGACTTTGGAAATCAGGGTACAAAAACAAGGGATCCAAGCCCACCCGGCTAGCATACTTCTCTCTGGGGAGACTGTCATCTCAGGGGGACGCGGGGGGCTTGGCCCAGATTGGGGTGGGGTTGTCAGTGCAAAGTCAGGGCCTCTGCCTGGGGTGGCTTCCCAAAACAAGCCAGAGGGCCCAACTCCTTTCTCTTCCTGCAGCCACAGGCCTTTCCTGAGACTCTTCCTTTCCACAGGCTCTTTGGGGCTCCCACCCAACCCAGCACCCTCCGGCAACCTGTGGCCTCTCAGCACCAACAGGTTTATCTTTGAACCCTGCAGGTTGTTGTTGGCCACGGCCCCTTCCTCCTGCACAACAGCCCTGCCTCGCCTTGGACTGTGACCGCCAGATCACACATCCAGGCCAGCCAGGGGTCAGTTAAACAAACCATTTCTACACCCCAGGACGAGCCTTCAAGTCCACACAGCGTGCATCTCTCTGCTGCCTGTTTCAGTCCATGCTCAGAGGCAAGAGCAGAGGGGCACCTTCCGTCTCTAGACCTGATCTCTGTCCCATTCCAAGAAGCACCCACTCGAGACCCCCCCCACCCGCCCAGGTCTGCTTGTCAGACAAGTGCAGACAACTCCCTTGGACCCAGGAGCCAGGAGGCCCAGGCTTTGGCCAGGACCTTCCCCAGGATAACAAGTGGCCAAGAGAAGTCAGGCCGAGAGATGGAGGGTCCAAGAAGTGGGTGGGGGGAGGCTCCCTGCTTTTGGAACTGTGGTTGGCGTCGTGGTGGTTAGGCCTGGCACGGGGAGCCTGGGTGGAAGCTGGCAACGCCAGAGGGGAACCAGCGGGAGGAGAGAAAGGAAGCCCAGGGCGGGTCTTGGAAGGCCAGCCTTTGGGAGCCTGCGTGGCCTCTTCTGCCTTCACCCCAAGCTGGACCTGGAGAGCCAATTCTTCCCCATGTTCAATCTGTAGCCCCATTTGGCTGGCAGGGTTGCAGAGCGAAGCTTTTCACCTACTGAAAATGGGCTGGATCAGGGCCCCAAAGGGGTAAAATAGCCGGGCCTCCGGCTTAGGCCATACAACCCCACCTAAGTGCTTGAACGGCTCTTGCGTTGGTTGCAGGGGCACCTTGAAGGACACTGTCTCTGCAGGAAGCCTCCACCTGCTTCGAGTCTCCAGGGTGGTTGTCATCAGATTGTGTAGTGGGAGCCAGAAGGGTCTTTTGCCAAAGAGAGACGGTGCAGAAGAGGAAGGGTTGTTGGTCTGCAGATGATGCAATACCTTGCCATAATAGCTGGGGAGAGAGAAGGGGGAGGGGTAAAAGGAAGAGCTGATGCCCAAAACACCTGCCAGAGGTTGGGCTAAGCTTTGCACCCCTTTTGGCTCTGGTCAGATTCCAGCCGTGTTGCCCTAGAGCTCCGAGCAGCTTCCCAGGGCAGCCCAGAGTGTGCCCGGCCCTGATTTTCGGGCTCTTCACACCTGAGAAAAGCTCACTTTGGAAGATGGCGCCTGTCTGTTCTGACCCACAAACTACGTCATGGGCCACCAGAGCCAAGGGGAAGGTACCAGGGCTGGTTGGATGAGAGTTCTGTGTTGTGTAAACAGTCATATGATGAAACTGAAGGGCACCAAATCTGAAAAAGGGAAGCAACGCAACTGGCACAAGATCTCACTTCGTGTTCGTGTGCGGGATCCCAACAGATGCCAAGCCATCCGATGCCCCGGACGCTGAACCTGCCAGGGTCCCTTCGGCCACTCTGGGCAGAGGCTGCTTCCTCGGGAGGCTTCACTAGACCTCCCTCCCTCTGGAGGGAGGAAGCCTTTGGACCTCGGAATTCCTCCACCGCCTCTGGGCTCCCCCCCACCTGTCACCTGCTGGCCAGGGCCCCCAATGGACCTGTGGTTCTCTGCATTCTGCTCTTTCCTCTCCCACGGCAGGTGATAGGGCAAGGGGGTGGGCGGCCACTGGTTCGGCCATGGGGAGTGTGCTTTGGCGTGTTGTAGTCTTGGAAGCCTTGAGCGCAGGCAGGATGACATTCTGGGGGGACTTTTGAGCTCCACGCAGGGTCTAAGCAAAGCCAGCCTAGCAGACCTTGGCCAGGGGCGCCGGGCCCCTCAGCTGCAGCCTGGCTGGGTGTCTGATGTGTCTCTCCAGAGGGACTGCAGGGGGCTCGGGACAGCCCCACAACCCCTGTGGCTAGGCCCCTTTGCTCATGGGGGGTGGGGGGGGGCAGAGGAGTGTGTGAAAATGGCTCAGATCGTCTGTTCCCATTGAAGACTCCTGGCCTGCCCCTCCCCCCCACGCAAAAGGGTTTCAGGAGAGAATCCAGTTGAACCTCCTTCTCTACTAGGTGGCTCCCATTCCGGACCACTTCATTTAACGTTATGATATCATTACATTTATGATCAGCAGCCGACAAAAAAGCTAATGCAATCAAGAGCCAGTGAGGTACTAATACCACTCTACAAAGCCTTAGTAAGGCCACACCTAGAGTACGGCATCCAGTTTTGCTCACCACATTATAAAAAAGATGTTGAGACTCTAGAAAAAGTACAGAGAAGAGCAACCAGGATGATTAGGGGACTGGAGGCTAAAACATACAACGAACGGTTGCAGGACCTGGGCTTGGCTAGTCTAGGGAAGAGAAGGACCAGGGGAGACATGATAGCGGTCTTCCAATATTTGAGGGGCTGCCACAGGGAGGAGGAAGGGGTCAAGCTATTTTCCAAGGCATCCGAAGGCCAGATGAGGAATAATGGATGGAAACTGAACAAGGAGAGATTTAAACCTGGAAATAAGAAGAAACTTTCTGACAGTGAGAACAACCAACCTGTGGAATAGAAGTTGCCTTTGGAAGTTGTGGGAGCTTCATCCCTGGAGGCTTTCAAGAAGAGACTGGACTACCAGAAATGGTTTAGGGTCTCCTGCTTGGGGGGGGGGGGGATTGGACTAGATGACCTACAAGATCCCTTCCAACTCTGTTCATCTCTTATCTGTTGATCACTACAAGAATCTTGCTCTTTCCTCTCCTGCTCTCCCAACCTTAGACCTGGCCAGGTTGCGCCGTCTTCTCCCTGCTGGCAGAGGCCGGGGCACCGGGCAAGAATTCTGCTGTGGAGCTACAGATAACCAGCAACCTTGTGGCCATGCAGGCCTCCACGTCACATTCCTGCTAAAGTCCAAGAGCTCAAGGAGGTGTCACCGGCCTGCGTGGATGCAAGATGACAGCGTCCCCAGGAATATAAGGACAGAGTGGCTGCCAGGCAGAGCTGCAGAAGCCTCTCTGGAGAAGGTGAGCCCTGGCTGCAAATGGGGACCTGCTCTCCGGCCCCTCCGGAGGCCCAGGGGGGCAGGCAAGCTGCATGCTTGGGCTTCTGGGTGGGGGTGCTTTTCTCGGGCAAGAGGTGGGCGGGGCTAGGCTGCCGCTGCCTCTGTCCCTCTCTCCTCACTGCAGCCGGAGAGGCCCCCTGGCATTGGCTCTGCCCCCCCCCGCCCCCCTTGGGGAACTGGCTCCCGGCTCCCCTTACCTCAACCTGGGGGAGCCCAAAACCCTTGCTGAGGTGATGGCTGCAGGGCTAGAGCCAACCCCGAGCACTGTCCTGGGGTAAAGGGCTGCCATGAGGAGGGGTCACCACTGCCTCTCCTCCACAGGTCTCTTCCTGACAAGACTTTGGCCGCCATTTCCTGCCAGCTGCCATGTCTCCGAAGGCAGCCGCTTTCCTCCTTGGACTCTTGGTTGCCACCACAGGTATCGGGATTTCCTCACCTCCACCTTCCGATTGCAACCAGCCTTAGTTCCTCCGCCCTTCCTTCCTCGGGCTTCCTCTGGCCCGGGTGGTTCTGCTATTCGGCTGCCTCCAGAAGGCAGAGTCGTGTCAAAGGGATCCAGAGATGTTGCCTGGCCGAGATCTGCAGGCGGAGATGGGGAGGCTTCGGAGAGGGTGGGGAGAAGTGGGGCTTGGGTGGGGGCACCGGAGGCCCTAAACTGCCAGCAGCAGCAGCAGCGGCGGCTCCTTTGATGGAGGGGGCTGGAAAGGGTGCCTGGTCCCTTGAAGAGGCCCGGGTGACCCAGCGAGGTGGCCCTCAGGACTGACCCCTCTCTCCTCATCCCTGCAGGGGCCCAAGACAGCCCCTCTCCCCAGCAGCTGACTGACGTGGTCTGGCAGTACTTCACCCAGCTGAGCAGCAATGCCGAGGCGGCCCTGAGGCAGGCCCAGCAGTCGGACATCGGCCAGCAGTTCACGTGAGTTGCCCCTAAAGCCGAGGCTTGAAACCCTTTCAAAGCAGGCAGCAGCTTTGCCTGCCTTAAGATGGGGGAGGCCCACCTGCGCAGGTGTAGCTCCCATAGGAGAGAATCAGGCGAAGAGGGACAAGGCCTGATTTCCCTCCCCCTTTTCTCCCAGGGTCCTGATCCAGGACCACTTCCCGGCCATCAACCCCTACACCGAGGAAATACAGAAAAAACTGATCCCGTACATCACACAGCTGCACACCCAGATAAGCGAAGAAGGGGAAAAGATAAAGGAGAAACTCAAGGTGGAGCTGGAGCAGCTGCAGATGGACATCGCTCCCTTCGCAGCGGATGTCCAGAACCAGGTGACCACGACTGCCGAGAACCTGAAAACCCAGCTGGTGCCCTACGTCGAGCAGCTGCAAGCCACGACAGACATCCTGGCCACCCAAACTGGCCAGAAACTGGCGTCCTTAGTGCAGGAGCTGCAGGCCCAGGTGAAGGAGAATGTGGGTGACCCAGCCGCCCTCTCCCCCTACCTCCAGAGGCTCCAGCAGACCGTCAACCAGCAGGTGGAGGACATCAAAGTGCAGCTGGGCCCTTTCCCGGCAGAGCTGAAGGCCAAGGTGGACCAGGCGGTGGGGGAGCTGCACAAGCACCTGTCCCTCTACGCCCAGACCACGCCGGAGCAGCTGAGGCGGCAGCTGGAAGAGCTTTCCTTCCAGGTGGAAAAGAGCGCCGTGGCCTTCCGGGACAAACTCCAGGGAGAAGCCGAGCAGTTGCGAGGACGGCTGGAGACACTTCTGCAGGGAGACCTGCCATCCCACCTGGACAGCCTGAAGGGGGACATTGGGCAGCAGATTGAGGAGTTCCGTCAGCAAGTGGGGTCCTACGGGGACAGCTTCAACCAGCTGGTGGTGGAAAGGGTGCAGAAGCTGGGCCAGAGGCTGCAGCCCCACGCCAGCGGGGTGGAGGACCACCTGAGCTTCTTGGAGAAGGAAGTCAAGGAGAAGATTGTGGCCTTCGCGGACAGCCTCCAGCAGACCGAGGAACGCCTCCTTCCCACCCTGGAGGAAGAATGAACAAGGGGAGCCCAGCAGGGGACCCCGAGGCTTTGTTGCTTGAAATAAAAGAACTGCTCAGCCACCCTCCAGGCTCTGTCTCTTGTGCGGGAGGGGAGGTTTGGGGGGGGGCCTGCAGGGGGGGCAAGAGGGAGGGGGTTCGGGGGAAGGGGCTCTCCACCAGGTTTTATTGATCCTTCAGCTGCACAGGGCTGCCCGTCCCACGCAAAAAGGACTCTGGGTGGCACACCACAAAACATCATCTGCAAATACGAGTAGAGGTTTAAAAGCATTTTAAAGAGAAAGCAGCGGCTGAGAGAAACAGCAGACCTAAATAACCACAGCCTGACAGCATAGTAAGCCTTGCGGCAGCAGCCCAGTCTGGGAATGACCAGGCCGCAAGTGACTGTGGGGCAGAGACCTCACCCAGGAAGGTGCGCCAAGGCCCTGCGGGCACCCCAGGTCGTGCATGCAGCACCCGCCCGGCACCAAGGATGGCAGTGGCCTTGAACCAGCAGGCCTGCCCAAGGGAGGGAGGGGGCTTCCTTCCCACCGCCCGGCCCTTTCTCAGCAGGTGGCCCCTTCCCCGGAGCCCCTGGCCACTCCTCGCCAGCTTCCCACCATGGCCTCTGGGGCCACGTGAAGGACTAGGGGTGCTGTATAGGGATAGATAGATAGAAGATAGAATTCTTAGAATCATAAGGTACATCACTTCATGATAGTCATGGGATACAATAAGCAATCAGATCCTACTAGGAAACAGTCAATATAAATCGTAAGTGACAAAGTTACAGTCATACAGTCACAAGTGGGAGGGGATGGGTAACAAGGAGTGATGAGGAGATTAACAGTAACAGTAGTGCAGACTTTGTAATAGTTGAACAGGGTTGAGTGAATTATTTGTTTAGCAGAGGAATGGTGTTCGGGGAAAAACTGTTCTTGTGTCTAGTTGTTCTGGTGTGCAGGGCTCTATAGAGTCATTTTGAGGGTAGGAGTTGAAGCAGTTTAGGTCCTGGGTGTGGGGAATCTGTAGATATTTTCACAGCCTGTATACAGGTCCTCAGTGGAAGGCCGGTTGGTAGTGATTGTTTTTTCTGCAGTCCGAATTATCCTCTGAAATCTGGGTCTGTCCTGTTGGGTTGCAGAACCAAACCAGACAGCTCCAGAGGTGCAGATGACAGGCTCCATCATTCCTCTGTAGAACTGGGCCAGCACCTCCTTGGGCAGTTTGAGCTTTGTGAGTTGGCGCAGAAAAAACATTCTTTGTTGTGCTTTTTTGATGACGTTTTTTGATGTTAGGTGTCCAATTTAGGTCACGTGACATGGTAGAACCTAGAAAGTGCGTAGATGTTTTCACAGCCCTCTTTTTGACTCAGGGTGCAGCAGGCATGTCCTCCATGGAAGGCGGGTTGGTACTAGCCATGGTTTCTTCTGCACTCCTAATCCCTCTCTGGAGTCTGGGTCTGTCCTGTTGGGTTGCAGAGCCTGGGTGAGGCCAGATGAGGAACCCCGCGCTCCCCTTTGGGGACCCTCTCATAGGACGGAGGCCGAGGCTCTCTGGAGGGCGCAGGGGAGGGGAGCCCAGAAGGCCGGGGCGCAGGAAGCGCCGTGGCGGGGCCCGGGGGGCCGCTGGCCGCCTTCCCAGATCTCGGGGGAATTGCCCCAGGCGAGGCGGGCCGGCCCCTTCCCCGAAGCCCCCGAGGGCAGCGCCAGGAGCAACGGGGGAGACGCACCAGGGAGGGAAGCAAGAGCGGAGCGGGGAGGCCCGAGCGAGCGCTCGGCGGGGCTGCTTCCCCCACGGGCTGCCTGCCGGCGGGGGCTCTCGACGGAGCCGCTGTCTGGAGCGGCCGGGGGTCTCTTGCTTGACTAGAAGACCTGCAAGGCCCCTTCCAAGCCTGCCCTGCATCCCGGGCGACCCCCGCTCAAGCAAGAGACCCCCCACCCTCTCCGGGACGGAGGGAGCGGCGCCCGCGGGCCGCCTCTTGGCGCTCAGGGCCAGGGCGCCAAGGGGAAGGCCGGGCGCCCGGGGGTGACGTCACCGGGCGCCGGCGTTCTCCTTCCGCCGGAAGCGGAAGCCGCGCGAGGGTCGCGGGCGGCATGGCGGCGGCGGGGGTCCCGTTCCGCCCGCTGAGCGCCGACGACGAGGAGCAGCTGCCGACCGAGCTGGAGTCGCTGTGCATGGCCTGCTTCCGCCCGGTGAGGGCGCGGCGCTGGGCGGGGCCGGGCGGGGCGGCGGGGCCGGGGATCCCGGCCGGGGCTCAGCCTCTCCCTCCCCGCAGGGCGCCACGCGGCTCCTGCTGACCCGCATCCCCTTCTTCCGGGAGGTCATCGTCGGCTCCTTCGCCTGCGGCAGCTGCGGCTGGAGCAACGCGGAGATCCAGTCGGCCGGCCGCATCCAGGCGCGCGGGGTCCGCTACGGGCTGGCCGGCCGCCGCCGGCAGGGGGGCGCGCGGGGGGGGGGGGGCGCTCCGGACACGCCCCGCCCCCAAAAGGAGGGGGAGGGCCGGTCTCTGGCAGCGGACGGGGGAGTCCGGGAGGCGCCTCTTCCCCTCCGGGGGTCCTGGGGGTGGGGCTGCCCGGGGAGAGCGGCGCGCGGCGGGGCCCCTTCCTCAAGAGGAGCCTCTCCTGACCGCCCCCCCCCCTCCTCCGCAGGATCTGGACAGGGCGGTGGTGAAGACGGACTGCGCCACCGCTGGAGTCCCGGAGCTCCACTTCGAAATCCCGGCTTTCTCTCAGAAGGGAGGTGCGTGGAGGCCCTGCTGGGACCTGGGGGGTGGGCGGCATGGGAGAGACCCATTGCGGAGGAGGAGGGGCTCCTTCTGAGAGGGTCGGGGGGGGGGCCGCATGGAGATGTCTGTAACTGGGGACTGTGGTTTCCTTTTGGGCCGAGGAGGGGAGCAAAGGCTCCTTTGCAAGCTGGGCTCCCTTCGGGGCGGAGCTCCTGCCACCTGCGGTTATTTTCCCAGGCCGATTGGAATTGGGGCACAAGGGGAGACAAGGACGTGGGGTTGGGCAAGGGCGAGAATGCCTGCTGTGCCAGTTGCCATCTTTGGGGGGGTAGAAGCTGCAGCCTCCTTTCCTATCACTGGCTTCCCTGAGAGGATCTGGTTGTTCGCAGGATGCCATATTGTTAGTTTGGGGAGTTTTTTTTTCATAGTAAGCACAATTATTTTCCTTGTCTGGGTGGAAGAAGTTTGTGATGCATGGAGTAATTGGGGCTGTGTTTCCCCCCTTTCCCTCCCATCAGTTCTTACAACCCTGGAAGGGATCCTGGAGAGAGCAATAGCAGGACTGGAGCAGGATCAGCCTGACCGAAGAGTAAGCTACTGGAAGGAATCTGGGAAAAGAGGGGGGCACTTTCCTCACATGGGGCAACATTCTAGCTTGGCATTTGGCTGTGTTAATTGCAGGTGGGCTTCCTGCCATCTGGGCAAAAAAGCAAACTAACCCCAGTGGCTGTCTAGAACAGGGGTCCCCAACCTCTGGTCCACAGACCGGCACCCGTCCGTGGCATGCCAGAAACTGAGCCGTGCCAACAAGCTAAGCCCCCTCCACAGAATGCAGGCAGCAGCACACACAACCAGGCCCCCTCCGGTCCATGGAAAAACCTCTATCCACGGAATGGGCCCTGGTGCCCAAAAGGTTGGGGGCCGCTGTTCCAGGCCATCCTGTTCGTAGGTCAATTATTGGGGTTTGAAGGGCCCCTCAGGAAGTGAAATGGGAGAGGATGGCCGTCTGCAGTTCTGGCAGCTCCACCTGGGAGGAATTGCAAAGAGCTCTGCGGCAGCCTTAAATATTCCACAGTGAAAGTGCTTGTGGGCCTGGGCCTGCTGGGTCTTCCTTTGGTGGGGACAGCATGCAGTCGCTTGGTCCAGAGGATGAACTAAGGCAGCCCTGGTGGTTTTGACTCGTGGCTTAAGGTTCTTGCTGCCGAATTGCCTTTCTGGGGGGACAGTCCCAGCTCAGAGCCTAGAAGGGAGGCTGTCCTGTGTCCCTCACTTCCACTGGGGAAGCAAGTCGGGTGTTTCTGCTTTTTTGGGCCGTAGAAAGTGGACGCTGACGTGGCAGGAAAGATCGACGAATTTATCTCTAAGTTGAAAGGCCTGAAAGAAGGGGAGTCGGCTTTCACTTTTGTAAGTTACCTTGGGGTGCTGAGAGGAGCTTCCGCCTGCAGGCATTGTTAATCCCGGCAAAAGGGTGATTTTGGTGGCCCCTCCTTCCCCCTCCAGATTCTTGACGATCCTTCGGGAAACAGCTTTGTGGAGAACCCTTGTGCCCCGCAGAAGGACGACGCCCTAGAGGTCACCCATTACAGGAGGACAGCCCAGCAAGCAGCTCTGCTTGGATTAGAGGTAGCGGGGAGGGCTTGGAGAGGCCTTGCATGTCAGCTCAGTTGCAAGCCCTGAGGGTCTGCATGCCAAAAGCTTATGGGCCCCCCTGTTTTGTCCCCCCCTCTCCCCAGGAGGAGGAGGAGGACCCAGCCGACTCTGCAGAGGATCTGAGGAACGAGGTGAGCGGGCGGTGAAGGGGCTGGCAGTTGGGTGGCTGAGATCCCCTTTGGACCCATCAGGGTGGCTTCTCTTCTACCAGGTACTGCAGTTCAGCACCAACTGTCCTGAGTGCAATGCTCCGGCCAGCACAAACATGAAGCTGGTGCGTATCCTTTGAGCCTGCGGCGGGCACTGCTCGCCTGCCCTGCTCCTGTGACGGGGGCCCCCCTGGGCGGGGCCCTGGCTCCTGGAGGGCAGAAGGAGCTGGCGGGGCTCCTCCAGGGCAACGCGTGGGGCGTGGAGCAAGCGGGCTGAGCAGCGAGTGAGGCTGAGGGGCCTGCATGCTGGAGTTTCCCTTGACTGCTTCTCCCCAGAGATTCCCCACTTCAAGGAAGTCGTTATCATGGCTACAACCTGCGAGGCCTGTGGGCACAGAACAAACGAGGTTGGTCTTTCCGTCCTGGAAGGCGGCTCCTGAGAGGCTCCGCCCGCCTTGCTGCTTGACACCCTCCCCTTCTTTGCCGCAGGTGAAATCCGGGGGAGGCATCGAACCTTTGGGTACCAAGATGACTCTCCACGTGACGGGCCCTGC